ATCCAAAAGGTGGAGATTCGCAATTGACTACCGTAAATTAAACTCCATAACTAAATATCCGGTATATCCGTTACCTATTATTGAAGAAATTCTAAGGAACATAACATCCACCAAATATATGACGACTTTAGACTTAACGACTGGTTATTTTCAAATAGGGGTTAGGCCTGAGGACGTGCCTAAGACTGCTTTTATAACCAAGTCTGGCACTTATGCATTTTTGCGTATGCCGTTTGGCCTTTCAGGGGCACCGGCAACATTTCAGCGATGTATGGACATTGTGTTAAGGCCTGTTCTTGGAAAAGTCCACATTTATCTATTTAGACGATATCATTATTACTAGTGATAATCTCGACCAACATGTACAGGATTTAAGACAGTGTTTTTCTTATTAAATGAGGCCGGTCTAAAAGTTAATGTCGAAAAGTGCAAATTTGCAGCCCCTGAATTAAAATATTTAGGTTACAAATATCTCAGAAAGGAATCGAGACAGACGAATCAAAAATAATCGCTGTACAAAAGTATCCGACTCCAAACACGGCGAAGAAGCTCTCTTCTTTTCTAGGACTTGTTCATATTATAGGTCCTTTATAAAAAGATTTTGCAGCTATTGCTGAGCCATTGTTAAAATTAAAAAGGAAAAAGGCAAGATTCTCGTGGACGGCCGAAGCCAATAGTGCTTTCGAAAAATTAAAAACAAGCATTAACGCAAGCCCCTGTGTTGAAATTTCCTGAAAAGGATGAGAATTTAGAAATTTCAGCGGATGCTTCGGATTATGCGGTAGGAGCGGTACTTTCGCAAAATCAGCAGCCCGTGGCATTTTTTAGCCGAACTTTAAATCAAACACAAAGAAAACTATTCCGCGACCGAGAGAGAGGCACTTGCAGTTCTGTTAGCAGTGCAAAAGTTCCGAGTCTATTTTGGAAAGGCGCCAATAACAGTGTACTTCTGATCATGCGGCGGTAACTAGATTGTACTCAGGGAAAAAACTTATCCCCAAGGTTAATAAGATGGGCACTCAAGCTACAAGAATATAATCTCTTAATCAAGCATACCCCCGGAAAGGAAAATATCGTAGCAGATGCCCTATCCAGAATTAAAATAGATGAAGAAGGTAATACTGTAAAGGTGGCAACAGCATGTACAATAAATTCCCGAGAAACTGTTAATAATCGAACTGGGTAAGGATCCTGAGTTTGGAAGCATTTATGAGTATTTAAAGGATCCTGAAAATTTTAGCCACCAAGATATTGTGGCGATAAGAATTAGGGCGGCTCATTACGAACTACTAGATGGTCTATTATTTATACAAAAACTACGAATTCCAACAACGAATTTCGACCTGTTATCCCAGCTAGTCTTAGATTAAATATCCTGCAGGAGCTCCATGATAGCCCTTTAGCTTCTCATGCTGGTATTCGAAAAACTATCCAACGCGTACGCGAGGCAGTCTATTTTCCTGAACTGCAAAAGTTAACAAGGGCGTATGTCCAGTCCTGCCCAACATGTCAAGCAGTTAATTATATTAATTTCCGCCCGGCCGGGTTTCTAAATAGTATTAAATCCGAATTTCCAAATGAAATAATTGGCATCGATTTATTGGGCCCTTTCCCAAAAAGTCAGTTAAATAAAAGTCGCTATCTCCTTGTTATGGTTGATCATTTTAGTAAATGGACCGAAATTGTTCCCTTAAAACGAGCCTCCGCGAAATTAGTTACTGATTCTATTTTAAATAAATATATTTTAAAATACGGGGCGCCCCCTAAAAGTTATATCGGATAATGGTCCTCAATTTGTAAGTAATGTATTTGAAGACATGTGCCAAAAACTGGGCATACGTCATTTAAAAATGGTCCCGTATCGGCCGCAATCAAATATAGCGGAACGGGTCAATAGAAATATAGTGAAAATTATCCGTAGTTATGTTAAAAATTTTCATAAAAGCTGGGATAACTATGTCAATGAATTTGCTTTCGCCCTTAGGACCGCAAAAACATGATACAACGGGCAAAACTCCTGCTGAGTTTTTTTAGGCAGAAAGATTATAACGCCGTTAGATAAATTATTTTATGTGCAACAAAGAGCCCCAGAATTTAAAATGGGTGATATAGAAAAAACTAATTAAAGAAGCAAAAAAAAAAGAATACTGAAGTAGCACAGAGAAAACAAAAGCTGTATTATGACTTGAAACGACGGGGAGTAACTTATAAAGTAGGGGATGAAGTATTAAAAATTAAGCATTCACTTTCTTCAGCACCAGAAGATAAAACTGCCAAATTTTTTCCACGATTTGAAGGACCATATGTCATAGAAAAAATAACTCACGCTGTAGTAGTGTTAAAAGCCAGGAATGGGGAAACCTGCTCCGCAAACATTGATCAAATCAAACCCTACTATGATCGTAATAAAATGCAAATATTTCAAAGATCTTTTGCAGGATCCGGCACGGCAGACACGGCGCAGGCACAAGCTCCAGAGGTGGAACAACGACAAGTACAAGGGCAAGCCATTAAGAGGCAGGAGCAAGTGAAAAGAAAGTTTCCCCGCGGGAAAATTGAAGGTAACAAGAAAAAGAAGCCGTTCCACCGTCCAGAAAAGAGAGCTCACGAACACCCCCAGAATGAAGAAGGGAGAAGGACGACGAATGCAAAGAGAGCCAGGAGAAATGACGGCAACTATAACTCGGCTCTAAAACGGAAGATCTACTCATCCGACAGGACTCTCCGCAGCAAATGTCGCCGAACTGCGGAAGGGCCACCAGCGGCGGAGGAAATGTTACAAGGAAAATTTGAACGGCCAGCAACGAGGTCCAAGCAGGAACATGAAAGAAGTTTCCCGGTTCCGCCAAGACCAGCTGTCATCAAACGGCCAAGACCACAGGCAGAGGCGAAAAAGAAGGTATTCAAGGGTGACCGAACTGGAAAAAAAAAAGCTTCTAGAGGAAGGCACTGAAGGGTTAAAGGTTGAATGAATGTAATTAGGCTCTCTGACGCTACACTTCAGAGTTAGCCACTTTCAGAATAGTACCTCAGGGTTTAGAGTTGAAGTTAGGGTGTGTTACGAGGTCTTGGTATGTTGAATTTTTAACACGTTAGTGCTTTGATTGTAGGAGGAAGTGTTGAACACGTAGACATAAACACATTCGTGTTTGGTGTTCTTTTACAACACATGTCAGAGAGCACGGGGAGAGATAATTAAAAATAGTCATGAATGAAATAAGAATGTTAAGAGAAATATAATTATACATGTTACTTGCCATTTCATTGTGTAACATTTCATTAAACTAGTTTTCCTTCCAGATCTCTGGAAGGAACCAGATTTGAATAAAAGCTCCTGTTTAGATGCAGTACAGATGAAAAAAATTGCGTGTCCTGGGAGCTGCTATTGTAAAAACAAATTTCTTTTCTTTTAAATTTCTAGTTTCTAGCGAAAAATGTTTGTAAAAGATTGGCCTCGCGTTAGATTCTAGAGCTAAAAGTTTTCAACAAGGTCGTTTTAGACCTGAGTTTCAAACTAATTCACTCTGGCGGGAAGTATGTAAGGATCTTAAGTTTTACTAACGTTTATTTTATTTTAAATCTTTACTATCACTTCTTATTTTCTACTTCCGGCCAGAATTATAAGCGTTAACGTATTTATGCAAAGTTTGTCTGGCGAACGCCAAGTATTTAAGTTGTGGCTTTTTGCCAAGCGAAAGAGAGGAAGCAGTTAGTCGAAGCAGGCCGCTTACCTTAGAAGTTTTACTCAGTTGCTGGTTGCCTTCCAGGCCAGAGGTTTAATCCTCTTGATAATTTTAAACGTATTGTAGTGTTAACAGTTCTCTGTACTACATACGGCTTCCTGTTAATATAAGGCCAATCTTCCACGTTTATTATTTTTAAAGTTAAATTAGAGTTTAGTTTTATTTTTATATTTTTACGTTTAGACCACAAGTAGTGGGTCTTTGTATTCCGAAGTACGGAAGTTATTGTAAATAGAGAAAAATAAAGGGTTTTGTATACCCTTCTTGTGTATCCTGTCTACTTCCCACAGTTATTGAACATAGCTTTAGTAAGCTCTCTGTTCCGAGTCAGGTCCTTGCATGTTCCCGAAGAAAGTAAGACGGAACATTGAACCTGATATGGTAACTTTTCTTAAAGAGTGGGAATCCACCTCCATGTTCATCTATCACCTGTAATGTTCACGAATGTTTTTATAGAAGTATAATGTCTATTTTTTATTAATTGAATACTTTCAAATTTTATTTAAAAGTTTACACTGAGATGATGGGTCTCATATAATTTGCCGTGGCGCTGTTAATAGAATGAAGTGTTTCCAAATGCAAAGGCTGGTTTATAGACTCAAATAGAAGAAAATTTCCTTAGCCTAGTCTAGATTAGTGCATATCCGCGAATGAGTACATTATTTAACTTTAACTGTTCTCACAAAAATAGAATATATTTTACAGTGGATTATATTGGCTTATAAGCAAATATCGAAATTTTCAGAGGTTTATAATGTAATAATAAATTAAAGGCCACAAAGCAATGCAGTTGAGTTCAGATTTCAGTGTTCTTAGTGTTTGTTAACTTCGAATACGAAACATTTGAATTCTATGAGTTATTTTATACGTTATTGTATTAATGTGGAAATTGTATACTGGCGCATATAAATCTCTTCTAATATTCTATACAATTGCATATAGACAGCAATTGCATATAGTGGATAAAAAGCTTGGACTTTGGTTAATTTCATTGGTGATAAGATTCTCAGCATGGTATAAACTGACTATATTGCTTACAGAAAATCGAAGATTCAACCAGCAAAAAAGAAATGGCTATTTTTAAAAACTATGAATAGGCAGAAGCTATTGTTGAAAAGCAGAAGCCAGATCTTGTACCTCACTAATTTCATCCTTATTTACCGTTTCGCAACTTCTTTCAGTAAACGAAAAGCTACTATTAAGCTCTAGGTAAAAGTACATATGCTTATATGTAAAATAAAGCATTCTCTTATTTAGGGATGGAATGATGTGAGCTTCCATGGATCAAAGCAGATTCCCACTCCCAATATTGATGCTATTGCTAAAGATGGAGTGATTCTCAATAACTATTATGTTTCTCCAACATGCAGCCCTTCAAGAGGGTCCCTAATGACGGGAAAATATCCAATAAGAATCGGTAAGTGATATTACTTTCAGAGGGTTCCCCTCTCCTCCTGGCAGGTAGCACTTAAACAGGAATTTAAAAATATTCCTTCATTTCAAAATGTGTTCAATACTTTCCTACCTTTTTTTTTCAGGTTTTCAGCATGAAGTTATAATAGCTAACACACCTTGGGGTCTTCCATTAGACGAAAAAATCCTACCGCAGTATTTAAAGTCATTAAATTATGAGACTCATGCAGTAGGAAAGGTAAGCTACTTTTCATAATTATTTTCTATTTCTCTCATATGCTGTTATTTGTTTCAGTTATCTATACTTGTATAACGGCAAACGGACATGTACATTTCATAATACAAGTTTATTCATTGCATTTTTACACTTGAGTTATGTGATGTAAAATGGTTCAATTCATTTCTTTCCTAAAGATTGCAGAAAGAGAAGTTCTTGCTTTTATAGAGTTCTACGATTCTGAAAACATTCTTCCCAGATTTTTACAATCCTCCTTAAAATAATGGGCATTGGATCAAATGTAATTTTCTTAACAGAACTTCACAATGAGCTCATACTTCTTTCGCAATAGCGAAAGACATTATGTGGGACCAGTTCCATATTGTATATAAATCTCTCTTCCTTGATTAACTCATAATAATTAACACTTTTACTAGGACTACCTGACAAGTATCTTTTTATATAGGTTCTGTGTTATTTCTTGAACAAAGAAGAAATTCGTGGACAGATGAATGAAGAAGAAAATCAGCGAAACTTTAGCATTAACAATAAGTAATTGACTGCAATTTTGTACTTTTCAGTATGTCTTTGTCCAGTTTTTAGCAGTGCTACAGACAGTAATAAATTACTTCTTTTTTCTGCTATTATAAAAAAAAATACATAAAAGTAGTGTTTCTATTTTATGTGTTTATTTCGGCGAGTATTCTTTTCTTTACTCCTCGAGTTGTACGCTCCTCTTACGCAACTTGTTTTCACATACCCTTAATGGTGATATACAAAGAATTACGATATCGTTGCAGTTGTGAAAGTTTCATCATTCACTGAAAATGATAAGAAAATATCATTATGATTTTTATATTTGCATGAATACATAGCAGATAAAATATTCTTGCTTCGTGGGACATAATAAGAGAGTTATACTATTCTATCGTTTATAAGGCATTTTTTTTTTCAAATTTTCTCAATTCGTCTTTTTTAAAATTATATGTATAAAATAAGTTTCTTAGCTCCAGTGACACTTTTTAAAAAATTCACTTCCAACTTCAGCTATCCTGTTTTCAACGAAGACTTCGTTAATTTTCTATTCGTGCTTTGTTTTCCTAAGTAATAATGACAATTTATTAATTTATTCATTATTTTTTTGTCATAGTGGCATCTTGGATTCTTCAAAGAAGAATATCTTCCAATGAAACGAGGTTTTGATTCCTTCTTTGGTTACTACACAGGTGTTGAAGATTATTTCACTCATTTCTCGAATGTCGTAAGTGTAATACTTTTTATGAGAGATAAATTAGTTGTATTTTATTTAATATTATAATACAGGTGGCAGGTGAGAGCAGATCCGGACACCCGGACGGCTTGCAGAGACTAATCGAGTATCGTCCGGATCCCGCAACTATCCGAAAACAATACAAGGGCAAAGTACATGGCCATACAAGGGCAAAATATAGATTTCTCTGCATGCGGAATTAAACATTTTCCTGGTTACGTCGCATGTTAACACATTGCTACACATACTTGCTACACTATACATTTCATAATATGCATTGCGTTGATCATTGCACTGTACTTAAGGCACATTTACAACTCAATGCTACACTTAATACACTGTATATTCTTTGCAACATATTACGCTGAACATTATTCTTGACAATTCAACATAGATTCTGAAGAATGTAATTGTTTAAATAAGACATAACTTGATTATATAGTACATAACTTAGTTATATAAGACAGAATAAATAACTTGATACGACAGATAAATAAATTAAGAGCTCTTAAATAAAGAACAAAATTACACATTACAAACAAATTACACAATTGCACACAGTACACAATACACATTGTTTACTTTGTGCTGTACTTATAATATACAAAATACTGATTTAAGGACACAGTACAGCCCATATTACTTTTGATTAAATAACATGTTAAAAGTTAACTGTGGCGTAAATTTTGCTGTATTCTTAAAACATACCAAAAATAACTAATCTTATAACACAATAAAACAATAAAGTTACATTTTAAAAACAAATATATTAGGTTCTTCAATACTGGTTTTCAGATTTTAAGGAATATTTTCACGTGCGTATATAACTAATAATTGATTATTTTGTCAAGTACAGCGTATACTATACATCTACAAATTGCAGCAGATATTATATATCACCATATATTTAATAACGTTCTCAAGTAATGCATATGTCTCTAACTAAACGTCTATCACTCAAGATCAGAATGTAAAATGAATTTCAAGATAAACAGTAAAAAATGTAGATAAAGAAATTGAAAGCTTAAAATAATTAGAAAAAACGTAATTGAGAGGTTGTTAAAAGCTGTCAGTCAGTAATAATTGTTAATATTGAAAATACCAAATACTTTTCAGTGATTGACTTCTTAACAAAAGAAGACAAGTTTTCATGAACACATGCTTGCAGTCTATGTATAGTACTTTCATATGACACTAACATTCACTGACGAAAGGTGAGCTGCTATGTTGTAAGGTTTATCCTAAGTTTCTAACAGTTAATTTTTAGTTAAAGCAACTTTCCTGTCCTTTCTAAATTTCAGCTTACAGTTTCCTGCCAGAACGTGTTTTCAGAATCGCGGTTAAATGCAAATGAAGGAAATGCGAGTATTTAACGTTGAAGTTCTACTGACTTCGTTAGACAGCCAAAGATTCTGAGCAATGCGCGTTCGCCTTTTGGCTATACTCTTTGTAAGCTATTAGTGTAGCCATTTGGGCTACTCTCTCTCTAAAGCTATTTCTACGTTCGGCCGTATTTTAGGCCCTTGATAGCTTCGCCGTTTAGTTAGGGGCCAACTCTTGTAGAATCTTGATAGCTTCAGCTGTACCTTCTTAGTTAAGTTTTATTTCTTAGTATTCCTGACTTCAAGCCCAAGTGGAGGCTTTGCTGTAAACTCCAATAAGGAGTCAACTGTTAAATTAATTTTAAATAATAAAGGGTAATTAACCCTTCGTACGTTTACGTTTCTATCTTTCTGAACTAAGCTATTATTCGCTTACCAGTTCTTAAGGTTCTACACATTTAACAGTAATTTAAAGGTTGGGACATTACAATGTGTATATAGGTAAACATATCGGTCGAAGATTATCATCTTAGACTAGGCTGCAGTATGGATGTGACCACTGAACTGATATGTGCTAACATCGGTAAACATGTGATAAAAATATTGCCAAAATGCCGAGAGTAATTCTTATTTTTTCAAGAAATTGATAATAAAAAAGGTTTGTTTAAGAATAAGCTGAAAAAAATTGTTTGGTTATCAACTTTTATCGGAGTGAAATTTAGAATGGAAAAGGTACGGTATTATATATGCATTATAAGAACCAAATAAGAGAAGGTCAATTAACTATGTATTCTATCTTATTTTGAATCAATGCGCTATAAAATAAATATTTTGGATATTTTACAGGTATTTATAATAGTTTATTTCTTCAGTTTAATAAATATTTTTCTTTTGCAGAGAAATATCACAGGTCTCGACTTGCATGACAATTTTAAAAACGCTTGGGAATACAACGGAACATACGGAACAGAGCTGTTCACGTCCAAAGCAAGGAAAGTGATCATGGAGCACAACCCATCAAAGGTTAAAGCATTTGTCTTTTTATAATAAACTCGAAAAGGAACATTCTGTCAACTAAAATATCCTCTATTAATTTCCAGTTCTAAAAACAGAACTTTATCCTCAGATTAATCTTTATATAAAGCATTCTCAAAAATTTATTAGTAAGGATTTTCAAATAAAAGCTTTGGAGAGTTTAACACATTAACCGAACTACATCTTCCAGAGTCCTATAGGTATAGCATTTATAATCGAATTCCATTTTAACGATTTTATATTTTCTCGAATTAAAGAAGCTTTTCTATTTTCCCTATAGTATTAAAGCAAAAAATCTTGACTTAACCAATGTATTTTATCATGGCTTAATGAAATGTCAAACATGTTTCCAATTTTAAATTTCTTGGCAAATTTGTACTGAAGAAGTAAACCAATTTATGCAATATCTTCCCTTCAAGACTGGGGAAGAAAAATGTTTTTTCCGATCACTTGTAGAGGTAAATCACTGATGAATTATGAATATGGGGATACTTTGATCACTTAAAATGAAGTTTTAAATTATTTTCGTTAAACTGCTATTAGTGAAACTGTATAACTTAGAAGTGAAATCCGAAAATACGACATTTTCATTTACGCTATAAACTCATTTTTTGATGCAATGAGTTCTGACAGAGATTCATGGAATGAAATGGCCTCATATAACATCAGTAGTTGGTAAGAAAGTTGGATTTTATTATAAAGTGAAATCGAATGCAGTCTTTTAGCTATCAAAGTGAAAACCGTGAAGAATATGCCATCGAAAGGTGCAATAAAATTCAAAGCATACCAGTTTTTACATTATGTGCCTATCGACGTTTATTTATTCACCTTCTGTACAGAATATGATAATAAGGAAGCGTCCGAATGAAAATGTGGGAAGTACTATAAAATTCGGAAAGAGAAATTTTTGCAATAGCCTCAAATTTGAACGTCAGATTTATTTCTGAAGCAATAATTGAAATACATAAAAAGGTTTTCAAAAATTTCAACTTTGTAATTTGTACATAGATTATCTTTTATTTCATTGACAAAATCTTTTTATCGACTTGAGAACACAAGTTTTGCGTTAGATCCGGATTAAACTGCATTTCTAATGTTGAAGAGAGCAGTTTCTTTCTTGAAGCAATCAGAATGCTCCATTTCAGGTTGAGAAATTTTACCAAATGATTGAATAAGCACATAGTATGGGTAGTTTTAATTAAATTTTAATCCAAAACATGGAAATTTTATATGTGACACAATCGTGAGCGGAAACTAAGTTCGTTCTGCTTGAGAAAAACTAAAATGTTTGCCATCAAGGTCGGTACTGACGCTTGGGGGTCAATGAAAATTTCAAGGAGGGAATAATGATATTGACGTTGACAGCCGAAAGAGTACCGGTAACCGATCGGCATAATCAAGATCTCATTGATTACAAAAAAGTTATTTATAAAATTGATAATTATTTATTGGTTAAAGCTATTGTTAAACCTGATTATTAAGGTAGTATCATACAAAATGTTATTAAAAGCGTATAGGTACGCTAAGTTTTGGAATTCAAAACTCACCCGAAAGAAATAACCTAAAAAGTTGTTACCGAACTAATATTATTGAATTTTCCCTCTTCTTACGTAGGAGAAGCAGGTGTCAGTCAAGTCAATAATTTACAACGGAAAATTAATATTCCCAGACATGAAATGTCTTTGAATGAGATGATTTAAAATTATGTTAAGTACTTATATGCAAAAATATTTTTTTTAAATGCATCGAACGTAGCTTTGTAGCTAGTAATTAAAATCGAACTCTTATCTCGTTTTTTCTTCTGAAGATTTATCCATATTTGTAAAATTTAAAATACGAAAACATAAATCTAATAAACCTTTTCCTTTTCGAAACTTATCACATTCTTAAGCTAATTACTATCTCTATGCTATTTCCATGCAATCATTTGTACTATGATTATATATGTTATAGAGAAAAATGTTAAGAGGGCCGATGAAGACAACCATTCGTTTTAGAGAGGTCGATGCAAGAAAAGGGTTAGGAATCCCTGGTTTCGAAAACACACACACACATCATAACTAGATTGAAAAAGAAAAAATATTTTGGATTATTTGGAAAAGAAACTGAATTCACAATCATATGAACAAACCGTATCCCAGAAAGCCGTGTTAAATATGCAAACAAATGCATCCATATAGTCAATATAATCATTTCAATAATCTGATGAATAATGTCTGGTGTTTTATTTCCCGAATTTAAAATTAAATAGCTTTTCCTCATATGTTTTCAGCCATTATTCTTGTATATCGGACAGCAGGCACCTCACAGTGGTAACTTCAACAAAGCAATTCAGGTACCAGATAAATACGTAAGGCCTCTTTCTGCAATAGTTGATGAAAAGCGAAGGAAATTTGCAGGTATATTTCGTGTTACTTTATGGGATGCATATTATATGCACAGAAAAATTAATTCATATTTTTAAGTTAAGGACATTAAAAGTTACTTAAAATTTTAAAAATGCTATTTTAGAGAGAACTTATTCTTAATGAATTGTTTTAATGCATAATTTGAATAAAAACGTTTAAAATCCGTTATTTCATCGAATAAAAGTATTTTTTCCCTGTATATTGTATAGAATTATGAAAATTTTTTCACAATACTTTATCATGATAATTATTATATTCTTAGGATTTAATGAAACGTTATTAACATAATTTAATTAAAATGAAGTTCTGTTATGAAACGCTGTACTTTATAAATTTTATATTGCCGTATATACCGGGTGGCCATAATTAAACTGACAGTGCTCACAGTGTTCTGTAGCGCTATCTATTTGCGAGAATGACGCCACATTTTGTAGGAAGATTAAACAAGACGGGGGACAAAGGATTCCGCGAAAAAATAAATTAGTTCCAAAAGTCACCGCTAGGTAGAACATATTGGCGCGAAAACAGAGTGTTAACAAATGCAAATCAATACGGAAATTACCTTTTATTTTGCGTTCAAATGAAGTTCAATGTGGCTGCCGTTGTTGTGGACCACATATTGCATTCTGTGCACAGTATGCACAACAGCAGAAAGTAACATGTCTGCAGGAATCTCCCGTACAGTCCTGTTATATGTTATCCTTCAACGTAGCCTGGATCCTGGACCACTTCTTGATATAGACCTTGATAGACTTAAGGTCACCCCATAGCCAGAAGTCGTATGGGGCAAGATCAGGCGACCGAGGTGGTGGCCATGCAGTTGCAAAGTAGCGGCTAATGTACTCTTTCTGTTTGTGAATTTCTGTCGTAGCATCTGTTGCACCCGTACACGTGTGGATGGGCTCTATCTTGCATGAAAATGATTTCCCCCAGGCATTGTCTTTTTGAATAAAGAACTTCTTCTGCTGCTCAGCGTACGTGATATTGCAGATCACGAGACTTTATCGGTGTTTATGTAGATTTTACGCTTTTTTAAAAGTGTTGCCATAATGCATTTGAATTAAATTAGAAAATTTGCATAATAAAAGGTAATTTTATTCCGTATTAATTTGCATTTGTTAACACTCTATTTTCTATTACACAGCGCCAAATAATTCCCTAGCGGTGACTTTTCGAACTAATTTGTTTTTTCACGGAATCCTTCGTCCCCCGTCTTGTTTAATCTTCCTACAAAATGTGGCGTCATTCTCGCAAATAGATCGCGCTACAGAACTCTGTGAGCACTGTCAGTTTAATTATGGCCACCCGGTATGTGTGTGTGTGGGGGGGGAATTGCATATTACATGTATGATTGGGTATGTGACTCTATACGTATATTTTTCATAGCTAGATTTAAAAAACACTCATGTCCAAATTTATCGTTACATACTTCAAAATAATGATATTCTATGAAATATCCAATTGATGTAATCCATTTTTGCGGGGAATATGTGAAAAATAAGCCTAACTGGAATTATAGCATTAAAAGTGAACAAATGGTTTCTAATATGCAAATCAAGATAATCATCATCTAACGGTTAATCAAAGCGCTTTGCGCAAGTGAATATCTGAATGCATTTTTTTTTTTTTTTTTTTTTTTTCAATACAGCTTTTGATTTCAGTGTCAAAACGGTTTCTTATGGTTCTAAAGTATCATTAGGAAAAATCTGTAAAGTGGCAAATTATTGGCCGTTTTAGAAGAAAGGTAGAAAATCAGAAGCAGCGAGGTATGGGAATATTTCAAGACAGACATACGCTATGGAAAAAATTTCAGAACTCTGGAATTGTAAGCTGGCCTGGACAAGTTCCTAAATGGATAACTGCTGCTCAAAATTGAAATATCGGGCAACAACTGCCAGTCGTAACACGAAGTATACTACTTACTGCTCGGCAGTTAATTTTAGGGCTTGCAACTGATACTGGAAATGCTGTATTACGGCAAACTGTAATACAGAAGGCTTCTGCTGTTATGCAGAAAGCCAAGAGTATGTGTTTCATTGTCTTCACAAAGGAAAAGGGGATATTTTTAACTGATGCAGCAAAGAACATCGGAATTAGAGCGAACACCAGTGGTTCCATGTTCTCTTTACTAATGAGTCAAGGTTTAATTAACATCTGATTCTAAAATCGTTTACATCTGGAGGAAGTCAAAAACCCGAAATCTTCCTTCGAAAATTATGGAGGGTGACCAATTCTGTAATGCAAGTGTGATGGTACGGAAAGCGATGGATGCACGCTGCAACACGTTTTTAACAGCGGATTTGTAATAGGCCAGAGATATCGAGATGAGATCTTACAAACTTATATAATACTTTTCAGAGGTATGTGTATGTTTCTGACGCTTGATTTATGGATGATAATGCTCATCGACATCACGCAAATCTCTTTGATAAATTCCTTGAAAGTCAAGCCATTGAGCGAATATTATGGCTAGCAAAATCTCCTGATCTTAACTCGACATAAAACTCATGGACTACCATAAGAAAGCAACTGTATGGAGACATTCTTCTCCTAGAGATATAAATGCCCTTAAGACCGCATGGCTGGAGGAGTGGAACTTAGTTCTCCAGATTTTAGTTAACAACTTTTTTGCCAGAATAAAACAAATTTTAATATGTGTGTAAAAGTTAATGAAGATCACAATCCAAATTAAATTCCCTTAATATTTTGAGTTATTCTCTCTCTCTCTTTTTCGGGGGGGGGGTAGGGTTGTCTTTGAACTCTCCTTGGGGCATATCGTTGCCATTTTTATTGTTTCGTGCTACAGTTTTATATCATATTCAGATTTTTCTTTCGTGCTTAAGCTTTTTCTTTCGTATTTATGTGTTACGATGTTATGTGCGATTCCACACAAATTCATAAGATTATAATGCCCATTTCTGAGAAATCCACGAATGCATGTAAAGATAATTTTGGACATGAGCGTGTAAGAATACGTAGTATATGTTTCTGTAAGTAGAAAAATGGTATTCCAACAGCGGCCGAGAGGTAAAGTCGCTAAGTTCTGGTAGTTTCGGTTCGGGGTTTAACCTGACGAACGTGCTGTTTGCATGGGAATTTTGGTGGTCTTCCCATGTGTAAGATGCATACTAGCCCGTTTCTTTTAAAACGTCACCCACGAAGGCATCCCTCCCCTTAGGAAAATAGCCCTTGAGTGCTTTGCCATAATCAAATAAACCAAACTAAACTTAAGAAAATGTACTTATTGATTAAGGTCATTATAAAAAATATGTCTTTTTTTTTCTTTTTTTTTTTCTTTTTTTTTTTTCAATTCAAATGTATGGATGAATATTGAAAGTAAAAAGATAAAAAACATTAAAATTACACAAAGAAGTCTAATAAAGTAGCACCCTTCATACCAGTATCATCTCTTTTTTTCTTTTAGGAATGGTGTCTGCTTTAGATCACTCAGTTGGAGAAATATTTGATGCCCTTGAGAAATCTCGCATGCTGGACAATACAATTTTCATTTTCACAACGGATAACGGTGGAGCTGTCGAAGGAACGGATGGTGCTATGGGTTCTAACTTTCCTTTGAAAGGTAGCAAGTACAATTTATGGGAAGGTGGCGTTAGAGCGGTAGGTTTCATTTGGAGCCCAGTGCTGCGTCCTCGGAGTCGAGTTTATAACGGAATGATGCATATCAGTGACTGGTTACCTACTTTGCTGTCAGCAGCAGGTAAATATTTATTTTAGAAATGCAAAATATGTGTCTTTCCATCTTAGTAAATTTATACCTGAAAATAATTGCTCAAAGTAGGCATGTTACATACTTGAAAAATAAATTAGATATCCTACAAGATAGATTAGCCCACCAGCGGCCGAGCGGTAAAAACGCTGAACACTGGTAGTTCGGTCTGAGGTTCGAATCCCGCGAACGGGCTGGCTGCATGGGCGTTTTCATGGTTTTCCCCATGTGTAACGTGTATACGAGCCAGTTTACCTTAGAAAGTCCTCCACGAAAGGCATTCCTCCCTTTAGGCAGATAGCCCTCGTGTGCTTTGCCATAATTAAATACACAAGATAGATTAATTAGGTAGATTAATATTTTGCTCTTTCGTGTAGATTAACTTTACTGTTGTGCATACTCTATAGTAGAAAGTAAGACTGAAAGCTAGCAGTTTTCACGCTGTTCTAGAGGAAATACAACAAGGAAGTAAAATCTTGAACAATTTTATGCATTTTTAAACTCTGTGTAATACAAATAAACCTTTTAAGAAAGGAGTAAAATTAAAATTAAAGGGGAAAAGATTCATAATGGCATTAAAATGCGTTAGTAAAATAAGATAGCTCTCAAGGTATCATTAGGAGTATCAAATTATTGTTCATGACTCTCGATACTCATGACACTCGTCATGTATATAATACAGTATTACTCATGACTCTCGATAAAGGTGGCTGCCGGCTTTTTTCTCAAGGTATCATTAGGAGCTTTTTTCTCAAGGTATCATTAGGAGCTTTTTTTCTCAAGGTATCATTTGGAGGCTTTTTCTCAAGGTATCATGAGGAGTATTACTCATGACTCTCGATAAAGGTGGCTGTGGGCATTTTTTTTCTTAGACTTAGATCCCAGACAAGTAGCATTTCGAATTACAAAGATCCTTAAAATAAAGTAGAGACTTTTATGATAATACAGTGGAACCTTGATTCATGATAACGCTTTAGATCACGAACAAATCGGTTCGCGAATAAATTTTTCCAAATAAAAAATGTCTTGAGATACGGAGAAGTAAGCTGGTAGTGAATGATACTCCAAAATGCAGTTAATGCAGCGAAGAAATATCTTCAGAAGAAGACGGAAGGGTGGTTGTTCCTAGTTCTTTGATCCGCGAAATTTGTGATAAACGGGACAAGGAAGAAAAATTCATAGTATATTATCCTCTTGATAAAGCAGTAGTAAATCGTAGCATAAATATTTGCAGATATGCTTTAGGAAAGTTTTAAAACAAAGATAAAAACAAATCACAGTGGTCAAATTTTTAACGAGACAAAGGCTCCGCGGATTCTTAAGTAGAAGCGAGCCGTGTTAGAAGAAAGAGAGAGAGAGAAAGAAGGGCAGCAGCCAAACTGGATTATTTTCTACAAAATAGGATTTCTCTTTCAAAGAATAATATTTTGCACTTTCGGTTTTTTTCACCGTTTTCTACTTACATCTTGAACTTTCCTTCGCAGACATGTGAAAAAATTTTAATCAAATTTTCCTATTTTGTTATATGTTTAGTACTGTGTTAAATATTGTGTATGTATTAGATTTAACTAAATCCACATTACGAACTTTTGCGTCTAAAGTACCCTTTACTAAGCAATCATTTGATTTCCGACAACGGATTAATTCGTTTTACATTACAAAGGTTTCATTGTGTTTTTGACATAGCCAGTGGGAATGTTCAAAGAATATAAAACATAGGATTTTGTATATATCTCAATAAAATAGTAACACTAAATTAGGGAAATATTCATTAAGCTTCATAAGTTATAAGAAGAAATGTCCTATTTTTATAAGCAAAACTCCAAAAGATTTTAGAAAACAGGTTTCCTGGCACAGACTGCATTTTAAACCATATTTTTGAGCAAAATTAAGTAATCCCTAAACTTTAAGGAGCAGCTGCTAAACAAAAATGCTTTGGAGATTAATGGGTTCTTACTGGGATTTGAGTGTGAAAAAACCCGCATTCTGTAAGAGAAATTGAGCAAGGTAGCACCTAAGTTAACGTTTGATGTACACTAACTCTAAACAAAGTGATTGCTATCTTCTTTTCTTGGAATCATAAATTAATTCGGATGATTACTTCGATATGCTGAGATCGTTTTCGTTGCCGCAATAAAAAAAATGCAGCCAAAGATTTTATTTTTATTTTTATTTATTTATTTATTTATTTAATTATTTTTTTTTTTTGCTACAAGATGGTCTCTCCTATTATTGGGCTACACATGTACGTGCTACTTGATGAAACATTCTCAGGTCGTTGTATCCGTAAGGTGGGCTAATTCCATGGCCACCCCGTTCTCCTGCACCACTCAACTTCTTTTTCTGGGGATACCTGAAGAAAAGAATGTATGCTACAGAGATTCGCAGCAGAGAAGATTAAAAAAAAATAGAATCACCCCAGAAACAAATACTATGACACAGCAAATGCTTAATAACGTATGGAAAGAAACTGAGAACAAGCTGTATATTTATCGAACAACTGATGGTGAACTGAACAACCATCAGTTATCCGACCATCAGTTGTTCGGATAACCATCAGTTCTTTATATGTTGCATTAATATAAAATTCTTAGTATGTAATTAAGTGTATTAATATAAAATTCTATAAAGGGGTAAATAAAATTCAGTCAGTAGTTTTCCCCTAGCTCTTATTCTATATTATTTAAACATATCTTTATCCGGTGAATATATTGTGGACACCCTGTATATTTAAGTCAATATTTAACAAAATAAAGGCTGCAGCTACCTTTTTCAAACACTATGCACATTAAATGTATGAGTGCGTGTTGTTTGATTATAATAATCTGCACTGCATACTTTTTCAGATTGCTGTTCATTGCCAGTTTGTAGAGTCATTAGGATTTTTTGAGAGGCAAGAGAGATGAAAAATTAACAACCGCCTTCGCCGGGAATCGAACCACGGACCTCTGGAATACCGGTCCAGCGTGCAGAACCACTACACCACGAAGGACGTTAGGAAAGTGGAAGAAATACCTTATATACTCCCCTTTTTTTAAAGGGCGACTAGGGTTTTTAGGAGACATAGTCGCCAAATCCTGGGTGCGGAGAATCATCCATCCACAACCCTTTTAGTTCGGGCGCCACTGTAGAGTCATTAGGATTTTTTGAGAGGCAAGAGAGATGAAAAATTAACAACCGCCTTTGCCGGGAATCGAACCACGGACCTCTGGAATACCGGTCCAGCGTGCAGAACCACTACACCACGAAGGACGTTAGGAAAGTGGGAGAAATACCTTATAAGTTAACAAATTAAAGCTTTTTTAAGACTGAAAATATTAAAATCGAATCTATATTTAGTTCCGTCTAACCATATACATTAAATTTGTAAACTCTGATAGCTTTGATAGATAATGTTCCGTTCTGAAACTTGGTTCATTTTCCCTACACACTGGCTGCAAACCTAAGTTACAGACCCAAAGAAGTGATTTTTCTGCATAACAAATAGAAAAAATGTCAGCTTATTAACTGATCATTAGAAATTCGCAGGAACTATTAACGTTAAATGATGACTGAAAATGTCTTCTGACTTAAATATATTTACAGGCAAAAATCCATCTTTCATTTCCGTCTCTGTCTGATAAATATTTAGAAAGGGCTACTAATTTCAGATCCTAGTAGGATACAAATTATGGTTGAATAGGACATATCTTAAATGTTTCATTTCGTTAATATTTTTCTTAAATTTCACATTTACCATTTAATTGTTCACCATCTTTATTGACTTCTTTATCATATCGATTCGATATCCGTCGGATGGGTAAGTGGATGTAGCAGCCAGATATAGGTAATTTTAACCATGCTTGACTACAGGCAATCATAGATACATGAAAGTTTTCTTATTTCTCAATAACTATAATCTACGAATTTTTCTTTAAAAGCCTTCGAGAAAGACGAGGCCCCGAAGATAAATAGCAAGACAGACTTCTCTCAAGTACTCTCACAATTAAGCATCTGCTTACCAGTAAAGGGAAAATATTCTCTTTACCAGTAATTATCTATTTACCAATAAGTGAATTTATAATTTTTGGCATTTTTAGCCAAATATATTATTATTACTTCGCTATTTTGTCTAGAACATATGAAATTACTGAAAAGCTTCATTTCTTACAACGATTGTTATTTAGGTACTAAAGGTTTGTTAGATTTCATCTATGCAAAAATCACATTGTCAGAATTTCTATTGGAAATTCCTGTACGATTATGTTTTTGTGTAGCTTACCCAACAAAATTTTTGTTATTCAGTTTAAACAATTCTGTCATAGGTTGTAATACGAAAATAAGCTTATGAAAATTAGCTGTAGATTACTCAGCTATGGTGTATCTTTCTTGCCATGATGTAGTATAGAAATTCAGAAGATAGTATAAAATTATTTACTGAATTTTTGAAGGCTTCTGTTAAATATGTATATTTTTGTACTATGTTCATAAATATCGCATCGTATCATTAAATATTGTTAAGTTAATTCTAATTAGTAAGTTATTTGTAGGTTTAAGAATCTAATGTGCATATTTTTTAAAATTTCGTATTGATGTGAAAGAATAAATTTAAATAAAAGTATTTATTTATGTATTTTTAATAATTTCAAATATGGTTTCTTTCGATTGTGGAATGTTCCGTATTGTTTCAAACAACTTTGTTGTGGGGTATAAAATGGGAAATATATATTTCATATTTTTTTCATCAAACTCTTTTCTTCAAAACAGGAGCACGTGGCTTCAAGAAATTGGAAGGAATTGATGGTGTAGATCTTTGGCCCTCCATAGTCCATAATCTGCCATCTCCGAGAAGAGAAATTCTTCATAACATTGATCCTGTAGATAAAGTCGAAGGTATTAGATGGAATAATTTTAAACTGGTGAAAGGCAGCTATTATGAAGGGCGATTTGACGGATGGTATGATAAAAACGGTAAATTAATTAAAGAAATTCCGCTGCCTGTCCCAAAGCTACGACAGAAATTATATAAAAGGGTAAGTATGTATTTTTATCAAACTTATCCCTATATTACTTCCATTTAACATATAATTCTTCAAATAAATGAAAGTTCCGTTATTTTAATTAAAAGCAGCAATTTCTCCAAATGGAATTCTGCTTGCTTTTCTCTACAATCTTCAATAAATTCTCATGAAGTGCCTACGAAAAGTTGCAAAATCAGTATTAAATTTATTCTCATTTTCTGTTTCTATGGGATTTATCTAGAAGAATTCTCATCTGGAGAATAATCATGAAGAATTTAAAGAATCTGTAGAGTCATTATATTTTTTGAATTAGGATGCGGGAAAAAGGTACACTCCCGTCGCCGAGATTCGAATACCGGACCTCCCGATTGCTAGTCGGACGTGCTATCCAATTACACCACGAAGCCACGCGGAAAGGAAGAAGACAATATCTTATACACTCCCCTTCTTTAAGAGCCACTGAAGAGTCACCACCACCTTTTAATTCGGGCGCCACTTGTAGGGTAATCTAGAATTTTTAACGCAGGGAAATCGAAGAAATTCACAATATCTTTCCCAGGATTTGAACTCTGGACTTTCCGACTGCCAGCCAGACGTGCTTTTCCGGTCACACCATGAATGTATCCTGAAAAGAGAGAGAAGATATCTTATAAACTTAATCAAGACTTTTCAGCTTATTTGCTAGATTTTGTGATGTTACATATGAAACATAAGAGGTGACTGTTTAAGAAATGTCTTATGTACTAGAAAATTTCTTTTACAAATCCTATATTATTACACGAAATTTCTTCTTTCCGTATGCTCTTCTTTTATGTTTCTATATTTCTGCATACTTCTGCTTCTATTTTTTTCTGCACATTATCTACAAGAAATGGACGGACCAGCACATCCTTATTCAATACCCATAGAAAATCTCTTTATAAGGCCAAAGGGAAAAAAAAATTCAAGCATGAAGACTTACCATAAAGTATGTAAGCTATGTTAATTACTTTAATCGGATATGCACACCGGTAAAATCCAAAAGAGAAACATAACATATAATCGGAAATACAAACACAAAGGTAAAGCGATAAAATATGCAACAGATAAATTTTATAAGAAAAAGCTCTAAATGTAAGCTATGTTAATTACTTTAATCGGATATGCACACCGGTAAAATCCAAAAGAGAAACATAACATACTCGTATAATCGGAAATACAAACACAAAGGTAAAGCGATAAAATATGCAACAGATAAATTTTATAAGAAAAAGCTCTAAATAGTAACATTTGCAATGTTTAGTAAAGTTTAAATGTTCTAAATAATAACGTTGCAAGACGCTGTCGGCTAGCCAAGATGTCTTTGACATCCTGATATCATTTAATAATTATTTCCTGTAATGGCTGGCAGGAAGGTGCACTGCCTTTATTCCTACTCTATCTGAACACAGAAAGCTATTCATACATTTCTAAACCAATGTAAATGGGAATTCGGACCGTCATTAAGTCTAATCTAAATTCTACCACTGCCGTGTTTCTTGACTTGGGAAAGGAGACTCTTTCCAAGACTTATCTTCAATCAAATTTAAGAAACGAACTTTTGGCTTAGTAAGGAGTTATCGTCTTCTTCGTGCGTGTTCTGTGACTGGTAGGACATTCGCTAGCAAACGGAAGATCTATGTTTCGCATCTCGACGTTGACATAGCTAAATTTTTCCCGTTTCTGGCTCTAAAAATATTAATGACTGCGTAATTTATGAGAAATCGGTGAGGCCATTGTATGGCGAGTTTGACATTTATGTGAAAGACTATATTACTTGTGTGCCTTTTTTTTTTTTTTTCTGTAGGAAACTTATCTACTTTGTTATCTGGGATTCTATAAAGGGATGGAATCTATTGTATGACATTTGCCTTCTCGAAACCAGAAAAGGCCTTAATTGATAACTTGCAGTCCAGATAATAGATTATCTGAATAGAATAGAATACAGTAGTAATTTCTGTACAACTAATCTTAATTGGGGCAAAATTACAACATTTGGAAACTTGACTCGGCAAGCTAGTAACTTCATAACAATAAAAACTGATTTAATCTTTCCTTCAGAAGAAGAATTATGGTCATTCTAAGTTATATAATGAGCAAATAGAACAGAATAAGTTCCTGTTTTCAGAATCTTTTTAGTACATCAATATGATCTTCTCAGATGTCTTTGAAAGATGTTTCAAAGTGGTAAATAAAATTAGAATCGTATGTCTTGAAATAATATTTTATTAGAATTTTAAAATAAAATATTAAATTGAATTTGCAAACGTAACATCATCTTACAGTTTTGCGTAATTGTTTTGATCAATTTCAACTTCGACAATTCTAATTTCCATCCTTTTATTCAACATATAATTTTGTGTTTTATAATGATGCAGTAGCTGCAGTACTACTGAGTTAATGTATGAACAATTAATTATGTGAACATTTTAGCATTCTGATTATTTGTACTTTTTATGTAGTAAGCTGTTTTTGTGTTTCAAAACAATTATTTTATATTTAGACTTATATGAAGTTCCTCAAGCGATCTAAAGCTGCTAGAATATTGTGGAGAAAATATGGCAAGGATCCCCGTGCTGCTTTTGTGTGTCACCATTTACCAGGATGTAAGGAGCTGGAAGTAAAGTGCGGGGGATTCCCTCCCCTAAGAAACGCAAACACTTGCAAACCCAAGGAAGGCCCATGTCTTTTTGATATCATCAGAGATCCTTGCGAGTATCATAACATTGCAGAACAATTGCCAGAGGTAACTATTTCATAACTTTAAAAAGGATTTTTCAGCACATCAGCAGTAAACTCATTTTTGAAAATGGGAACCATTCAGTATTTTTGAACAAATTAAGGTAAAAATAAGAAAAATGTCTCCAGAACTTACTAAATAGTAAAATAGAAAGTCAATCACGGACTGGAAACGTGATGTTACGTGATCACCCTTGAACATTCTACGCATTATGCTGACGTCTGTAAAGTTCATTTAGTATAGAATAATTAGTACGAATGGTGCCAAATCTCATGTAAGTCGCAGAAGTTATTGGTCTTCATAATCCGTTTTAAGCAAACATCAAAATATCTGGTAAGCAATATTATGTAATTTCTGACATAAGTTTTACTAACAGTTTAGCTTTATGCTAATTTCCTTCCTATTATATGCCTTGGCTCGTCACATTACACGCTGAGACCAGAGATACTGCGGAGTACTGTACGATAAGCAGTGTAGCTCAAAACTAGGGCGTAATCTTAGCCGGCAACTCCGGAGAGTTCTCTCTGTGCCACTGCCGCTTTCCACGGGGAAGTCGCTTGCAGAGCAAAAACGGCCTCAGAAGAGTGAGTTGTTACTTACCACCAGCTGAGTTGCTGTACCGCCTGTTATATGACTATCAGAATCTGTACTCAATTAGTGGAGCATTCTATTGTAGCTGAGCCTAGCCAAAAATCTCTAGAATATTCAGTGACTTTTAGAAGTTAGTTGGCTTGTTACGTCCGACTTGATGGTGCTTTAACTCTGAATAAGTCTTTTAGAATTACAATCACGCCTTAACTGTAGCTTATGAGCTAGACACTGTAATTCATCGTCGATGAGACATCGCGTCATTTATTTTGTCATTACTTTTAATCGTTTAATCAAAAGTAGTGGCTAATAAAGTTTAGAATTACATCGTACCTTGAGGTTTATGTTGTTTTCGGTGTCGAATATTAATAGAGACTATAACTCGCCAACTATTAGAGAATAACCTCTTAAGATCAGACTTTAGTTTTGGAAAAAGGCAGTTCTGAGTTAATTAAATAGCTTTAGAAGTTATAACTTCTGCCAATTATTTTATTTAACTTTATCTTGAATAGTATCAATACTTTGTGAAATATTTACTGTAAGTTTACCTCGAGAGTTTTTATAACCTTGGAGATTAATAACTTCAATCTAGGTTCCACGGATGAATGTCTTTCAACAAGTAACAGACCTTCAGTCACCTTCATGAGGACTTGATTTTTATTAATCTTACATCCATTCTTCTGTTGTCATCCCATTCAAAAGCATTATGTTCTTCTTCTTTATACTTCTATCTTCTTATACTTTTCGTACACAGTTAAATGACTTTCTGCTTTTGGGATAATCTGTTTACGAGTTAGGAAATATGACAAATCGACCTCTGCAAACTAACTATTCAAGCAAACATATTTTGCTATTAAAAGACTTAACAAGAGACATTTACTTAAAATGAAGGATATTCTTTCCTGAAATTCGCATGCAAATATCAATCAAATGGTCCAAAATATTGCATACAAAGTAAATCGTAAATCCATTATTTCTGTTTATTTTTTATATCTTCTAGAGATGCAAAACCTCGTTTGATTCATCTTATGAAGTGACAAAGCGTTCCAAAATTTAACTACGATTCAATCAACATAAGCAGTACGGTACGTCACGTAGTAAGCATCAGTTTCTTCTCAGAAATTTTATAACATTCTGCGTTTTAGATCTTGAATGCAAGTTACTTTATCCAAGTAATCAAACAGCGAAGCATTCAGTAATGGAAAAGCAAGCAAATACTATTTTAATCACATTGAACAAAACGGCAAAATCTTTGAACCCCTTCCTGTTAATGAATTAAGAAGTAACATTTTATCAGTGGTTTGCCTGCACACTTCTCATTAATTTCATGACGAGCAAATATTTTTCAACTCAAAGATGAGGCCAACGTAGCAAGCTGCTGCTAAATTCTTGAAATATAATGATAGGTTTTTTTTTTTTTTTTTTTTTTTTTTTTTTCTGTTTCATGCATTTTTAGATTTTCTACAATCTCTATCCAGTTGTCAGCATTCCACTCCAACTTAGCTTCATTGAAAGAGGTGTAATTTTGAATAGCTACAATAACATTTGTTCTACGTAAAACTTAAAGTATTACTAATCGAACAAGACAACAAGAAACACCATTTTCTGTACCTGATAGTTGAGTTGAAGGAACTATGATTCTGTCACTGCCGCTAAGTATATAAACTTGTTGAATTTAATTACTTGTTTAACTTCACATTTGAAAAAATTCACATTTACCCCTTATGATTTAATTTTAACTGGGCAAGTAGCCCAAAATTTGCAAGCTGTGCGTTATGTAGGCTTTATAGATTTCTCTTTTTTCGAATTTGCTAGAAACTTGCGAGAGAACAAACGGCGAGCTCACTGGGTCACATGAAACTAAAATTTGGAAATTTCTAGACAGTGATATCTACTAATTATCCTACATAATAAGAATTGAAATTTGTTCATGTTTACTCGAAGTAATTTTTTTCCCTTACATTTTATATGATGCTGAAGCTGCCCACTGTTATTACACATTGCCTGGGAATTACTATGAGTTTCATTTCGGATAATTATTTCAGTGGCATATCATTTATATGTGATGATTAACTTTAATGCTTTGTGAATAAGCCTTGCGAATATAGAATACAATGCTTAATTAGATTGATAAAATGCTTGCTTAGATTTTCCTACACTTTAATAAATGAAACTGTATATTAAAAAATGTTATATGTGACAATAACATATTTTATATGTATAAAAAGTGTTATATGTGTATTTTTATCTTACTAACATCTACATAGATGAGCCCACCTTGAAAAAATTATCACTGAAAACATTTTTTGGGTACAACTAAACTGCAACAAAAAGTCGCCTAGAGCGAGCGTGGCTAAATTTATCATTTCTTAAAAAAGGTTTTGCATCTCTTATTCAAAAAAGTTTTCAAAAAATTAGTCTTTGGTAACTGGTCTTAATACTTTTTAATTATAAGAACTGCTCGAAGCTAGTTCTAGCTAATGCCCGTAATGTATCAAAGTACTCCGTTAGAGAGCCAGAGTTTCTGACTAGCGCGCGTTGGCCTTTTGGCTACGTCTCATGCTAAGCTATTACTACGCGCAGCCGTATTTCAGGACCTTGATATCTTCGTCAGATTATTTGAATATTTAGGGGCCAACTACTAAGAAATCTTGATAGCTTCGGCTATATATGTGTTATATGTGTATTTTTATCTTATTAACATCTACATAGATCAACCCACCTTGAAAAATTATCACGGAAAATATTTGTTGGGTACAACTAAACTGCAACAAAAAGTCGCCTATAGCAAGCGTGGCTAAATTTATCATTTCTTAAAAAAGGTTTTGCATCTCTTATTCAAAAAAATTTCAAACAATTAGTCTTTGGTAACTGGTCTTAATACTTTTTAATTTTAAGAACTGCTCCAAGCTAGTTCTAGCTTATGCCAGCAAGGTCTCAAAGTACTTCGTCAGAGAGCCAGAGTTTCTGACTAGCGCGCGTTGGCCTTTTGGCTACGTATCACTCTAAGCTATTACTACGCTCGGCCGTATTTCAGGACTTTGATATCTTCGTCAGCTTATTTGAATATTTAGCCGCCAACTACTTAGAAATCTTGATAGCTTAGACTATAGCTTTTAGTTAAGCATTAGTTAAGTTTTATTTTTTATTACTTTGAGTTCAAGCCCAAGTGGAGACTTTCTGAGAAAGGAGCCGATCGCACATTCTTATTTTGAATAATAAAGGGTAATTAACTCTTCTTGAGTTTTGCGCCTCTGTTCCCGAACTCAAGCGATTATTCGCTTATCTGTTCACGAGGTTCCTACGCAGTTAGCTGTTAGATGAAAAGGGGGAACCCCACAAGTTAAATAACAAATTAGTCCTCATAGAAACTATAAAAGTACTTCTTACTAACTTGTAACCCCCTCGTTGTAATTAATTGATATGACTCATAATGCATTTAATTTATATGATTTATATATTTTATTTTTGTATTAATTTTATGATTATCATAATTAAATATATCCATATAATATTTTTATGAATTGTTATTGTAATTATCAAAAGATATTTTTAAAACTATTTATCACTAGCCCGTGTCCAAAATATTTTTTTCTCTTCTTTCTCATTAGATTACAGCACAGTTGGAGGCAGCGTTGAATAAATATCGACCCTTGGCAAAAGACCCTGCCGGTCAACCTCCAGACCCCAAAGCAGACCCTAAATTTCATGGAAATGCTTGGATGCCCTGGAAATGAAAAGGAAACTCAGAGAATGCCAATTTTTAATGCAAGTTGGACTCGATGCCTGTAGTACTTCACTGAATCAAACTTTTTCTCTCATGATTACTGTTTTAAAGTGTACCATTTCTGACGTACAAGAAAAGTGCATCACATAAGCATACTAAACATACTTACTTCATTTCAGCAAGAATAACCTGTAACACTTTATTAACAAATTTTGTAACATATTTACGTATATATAAATTTATTAAACTTATAAATTTATTTTCTGTTCCATGTTTATTTTTTATAAGAAAACACTAATATCAGAATCCCCAGGCAAACTCTTGATTCTGTTTTTCTGAGATTTCTGCAAGTTTCTTGGATCGTAGATTTAAAGATTCAAGTTTACTGATTACAATATACACCGAGCTGAAATAAATTGTTGCCTAGATTATCTTATAAAATCGGTATAAATTAATTGTTTAATATGATTACTTGATATAATTCTTCAAATCGGGGTAAATTACCAAATCTGAATAAAGACAAAAAAAAAAAAAAAAAATCATAATTTCTATTCCAGCAATTAACATGATAATAAATTTCTATAACAAAACTTAGAAACAAGTGTTTTCAAAAACATAAAGCTCCATTTACCGTTCAGCTATTTTTTTCTCTTTTGTAATATACGTTTTACATCATTTTGTAGAGTTCCTCACTTTGTAAAGGCTAAGTTACTGTTGAATGTGAAGAATCTTAAGAACTAGTGAGCGAATAATCGCTTGAGTTCGTGCAACAAGAAACAACAAGATGGAAGGGTAAATAACCCTTTATTATTCGGGTAAGATTTAACAGAACTCCGACTTGGAGTGTACAATAAAAGCCGACATTTGGGCTTGAACTTAAGAGACTAAGAAGTAAACTAAAGTAATCTAAACTTAAAAAAAAAAAAAAAGCCGAAGCTATCAAGATTCTAACCGAGTTGGCCCCTTAACGCTAATTGACTGCGAAGCTATCAAGGGCCTGAGTACGGCCGAGCGTAATAACAGCTGTGAGAGAAAATTTAACTGTTAATAAAATTAACATAATCCTTACAATTTTTTAAAAGAAATGTGACTATTAGAAATTTTTTATTAGTTTCTTTGGAAGAGAAGTTTAGGATGTTTACAAAAATTCCTGAGTAACTTTAGAAACTGCTACTTTTGAGCCATTTAAAGTAGAAAGCTATAATTTTAGGATTTGAATTTATTATATAAAAAGTTATATCTAGGTGTTTATTTATTTTAAATACATGTTAGATATCTATCATTTTTGCATTTGGGTTCAATCAATGTAAAGCTAGATTTATTTATTTATTTATTTCCATCAAAAGTCATCTTAAGACTAATGCAAGCTTTGCTTTGTATAATACGAGAATAACCAAGTCTTCTTGAGGGAATCGTAATTTAGTTTGCCTCATCACAAGATCTTCTGTCTATATTAGTTGAAACTGTGTTAATAAAAGCTGCTTAACAAAAGTGGAAAATTGACTACAGCCGCCACAGTGAGCAACATGAGAAACAAAAAAAATCATATAGCTTAATGTTTAAACAGTTTAGTTATCATATTTAAATAAGAGTGGAGCACTAGAACAAATTGCCGATGATAATTCAGGGCCTTCTTTCAGTGCAATAACTTCATTATTATTCTTTCAGTGCAATAACTTCATTATTAGTTTCCACAGATTTTAAAGATGTATTCACGTCAGAAAACATTCTTGGAAACAATTTAATAGCATATTTAAAAAAACCTTTACACGGTCCAGTATTTCATTACGGGTAGTTTGATCAATTACGAAATTGGACCGTGTAAAGTGAAATTTACACTCTCTTAAAAATAAATAAATAAATAAATAAAATAAAATTTTTAAAAAATGTTGGTTACTTAGAGTGTTCGCTTTGCTCGTGCAATTCCAGTTTCTTCATAACTAGTAATGACTGCTGTTACTGAAATATTTTTAACTGTTGTCATCGAAAGATTTTTAAGTGTTTTTAGAAACATCATAATCAGGAAGAATTCATAAAATATTTTCCCTGTTCATCTAAATAGTCAGTGCTAAAATATCGCATGCTCTTCAATGAAACATAGCGTAAATCTTCTAGTTTCTAATGCGTCAGAGTTGTAATACAATTAAAGTTATAAGCAACATTTTACACAGTGGATTAAACATATTTGTAATATTCAGTAACTTAACTTATTTATAACTATTTAGTTGGTTCTTCGGTACAGCAGTCAACGTCACTAACCACTTTGCCCTTTGAGCGGCATATTTAAATGTATAATTTTTTATTTTAAAATTATACCCTACAGTTTACACAAATAATTTTATTTCTGCAATTAGTTTTCTTCTACATTTTAATTAAGATATTCAGTGAGATCGATATTTGTGTATGCCATATTTAAAAATTTAATTCTCTTGATACAATGCTTAGGTTTAGTTATCTTTCTTTTTATTCTGCATTTTGTTATTCCATAATCTTTTAAATAAGCCAGTACAGTTGAGTAATACATTAATTACACTCAGTTTAAAGGAACTTAATTGGTAGTAACTCTCTGTTGCATTACTATATCCGCAGCGGAATTAAATCTCTGGGATCATTATCGCCCACACACGTAAAGAACTGTGCTCTGCATCATATCATAACCATTTGGCTAACTGCAAAAATATTTTTAATCCAGTATTTGTTTAACAGTTTATAAAATAAAACTTTGTGGATTCAAAGTATTAAATGAGAAATTTTTATGGATTTTACTAAACGGCACTGAAGAAACTGGCTACCGAAAAAATTCTCTTTGCATTACTGTAAATCAGTTTTATGTTATGGTAATCGTTTGAGCTGTACAGAATGCAATTCCGTCAGTCTCAACAATTTGTAAATAAAAGATTCTTTAATAATCTTATCAGAAAACCAAAGCAACAGAAACGAAAGCTGATGCAGCCTTCTGATCTAATCTTTTGCGTAAGTTGAACTTGGCTTATCGATAAAAATTTTGTTTAATTGAGAGTAGATAGTTTGGCTTTCTGTGCAATAATAGTTTTTGCAATCCCTTTCAATTTGCATAATTGCGAACTACTTTAAGCTAAGCTAATATGATTTTTAAGTGATTATATTTTATTGAAATGCGAAGTGTGAAGTTGTTTCAAAACGTGATGGAAGATGTAACTTAGAAACAGAAAACAGACAAGGGATTTTTACATACTATGGATGATATTAAACGTTAAAGGTAAAAAAAAAAAAGTTAATTCATTGCTTTATGTCGCTCTCTAATTATATCATGTAACAATCTATATTTAAATGAATTTGTATTTATATGAATTATAGATATGTTGCAAAATATTATTTGGTATGGATTTTGGTAGTTTAATTACTGTAAGTATAGACTTTTAAAGCATGGGCGATTAGATATGGATATATAGTTTATAATTACTTTAAGGACCAGAGGTTGGTTTCTGTAAAATTTCAGAAATTTCGACTTTTATTGAAGTTTAATACATCTGTTGTTGAAAGGAAAACGTCTTATACATCTGTCCCCATTTTTATGATTATTCGAATGTGTTCGTTTCATATACACTTAAACAGGAAGCTAAATATTTTATAAATGAACTCAAAATCTGAAGTAAATTGAATATTTCAAAAGTTCAAAATAGATAGCCGAAGGGTTAGAAAAAATTTCATCTAAATTAGATATAGAACTTCGGTGATTCTTTGACAAAACTTCAAAGTTAATTTATATTGATTTGAAATTAGTTTGAAAGAAAATAGTACAAGCGGAAATATCAAATTTGTTAAATTACAGCGCGAAAATTTTGCTTTTTTGATCTGTGTTGTTGCCAAGATAAAAAGACACTGCCAAATATTAGCTAAAAATTATCTTCCTTGAAATCCAAGCAAGAATCTTTCACATGATTTAATTCCAATAAATATACAGTCTTTTCTTTTAAAATTTCTTCAGTAAATTTTATATTACTTTCTTAAAGCAGTTAGAAAAGTGAATTATTGCAAACTAAAAAATTTGAAAATAATTCTTTTACTTGTCTTTTCCGAAATTTATTGTTTTCATAAAAGGCAAGTTCCAGAGATTATTTTCCTATTTTCATGTAGTTCAAATACTTGTTTGATGTGGCTTCAGATAAAATGTGATTAAAAGGTATACTCATGCCGCCAGCTTCTTAAAATAGAACAATGCCCTCGGCGGGGCTCGAACCACGGACCTCTCGAATACGGGCCAAACGTGCTAACCACTACACCACGAAGGAAAACTGAGACGCCGGGAGCAATACCTTATAAGCTTTATGGGTGCCCCTTTAAGATCATAGGATCATTTCGTGATCAGGTGGGGAGCACACCAGCAATCTTACCTTATAAGCTTTATACTACTTAATACAATAAGCTTAATATATATTGAGATTTATACTACAAGAAGATGTCTGAAAATGTGCAATAACTTATTTTGCACATTTAAAATAAGTTGAGATCAAATTTATTTCGCTATATAGTTGGTGAAACTCATTATGCATATTCCGTTCAGATGTTACTTCCCCTAGTAAGAAAATGTACATGTCGGTATCTATGTTATTCTTATACATCTAAGAAATCGAGAAGTCCTTCAGGAGAAAAGTGAATTATTGCAAACTACGTAAGTCCTTCAGGAGGAAAAAGACGAGGTCCTTCAGGATCCTCTATTGTTTCTTAACATTTTATTGGATACAACTTTTTATGGAGATTGTCTAGCTTTGCTGAACAATCTGGGATTAGTAGCAACAACAACAGAAATCGAAAATTAAAAATCCGATACGCAGTTCTTACAAATGTGATGCAAATGTGAAATCAACATACGTTTTGAATTCTTTCAAAGTTATTCGAATTCTTTGAAGACACTAGGACCTGTCGTTGTTGTGACTTATCTCACTTGTCTGACAGCAACACCAGAATAAGCCCACAAAATTCATCGTAGTAAGTAGAATAAGACTGCGCCTGTCGTTGGCAACAGCCTTGAGCAAAATACAGATGACAGTACGATTTTGCTCAGTTCCGCCTCAAATTTTGATGGAGAGCACCCGAGCACCCCTTTCCCTACCACCAAGAGGTCCGAGGGTCTCCAAACCCTCTTCCCCTATCACCAAGAGGACCTTCAGCTCGTAGCATATTTAGAGTGACCCCGATGCTGCACAGACACCCCATGTTTACAAACATCCATGCCTTTTGTGGGATTCGAACCCGGACCCTTCTGTACGGCAATCAGCGT